TAATCTGTGACTATAATTGTAAGCCAGTGTAGCTACAGAATTCGCACCATGTCTTCTGCCAACTGTTTTCCTACTGTTTTGGCATCTATGAGGAGCACTGACCAAGGTTTTGCCTGTAGACCTGGTGCTTGCAGTTTTCAATATGTTTTCTCACAGATCATATATCAAAAATGTACTTGTGTACAGGAAAAAACACTTTAGTACCACTGTAGAGAGCTTAGCTGCTGTAGCAGCTAATGAAGCCCTAAGCCACCCCCACTCACCAACACACCCTGATTCTAGGAAAGGGAAGCAATTAATCAGCTGTGAAGACAGAGAGCCATACACAAGCTAACAGGGGCAATGCTCCTGTGAGTTGCAGCAATGTCTGTCCTGTGTTAGCAAAAATTCTTTTGATCGCTAAAATGTTCTATTTAAAGAAGAAGTAGCATGATCTTTTATTGCACTAAATGGTCTAGTTGCTTAATAAAAATGGTTACCTCTCCAACAAATCTTGTCTTGTTTATATCTTTAGGCCATTATGGCTACAACACTGCTGCTACTTAAATGAGTCATTATGAGTTGTGCAATTATTGACAGAGAGATTTTTTTAAGGTAACTACTTGTTATTAACAGAAAATTAACTGCCTAAATTAGTCCCACTTTAATGGTAGTTCTGCAACACAGTCATACTCTGGGCTAGGCTGTCAGCACAAAGGAAGAGCAAATCTCACAACTGCACTGCAACTCTAGGCACAGCCTCACAGAACTGCAACAAAACCCACCTACCAGACCTGCCCCTCAAGCTCTGAATTCAGCTGCAAAAGCAGCCAGTGCCCGATGATTCAGAGAAATGCAAGACCTAACTGCTTTCTTGCCTTGCAATTACAATCTAGTTAATTGTGTACAACTGTGCAAAGGAAGAGAGTGAGGAAATTCCTTTCTTGACCCTTCCAGCAATTGACTTGCGCCCTGGAGCATGAGATTTGATTACTCATGTAACTTATTTTCCCCGGGCAGTTTCTTCTTGATAGCTCTTGTGTGACAACTTAGGTTTCAGGCCGAGTCATAAGAACACTCCACTGGTTGAACACTAACTTTCATTATTATATTATTGTTTGATATACATCCCCTACTGTGTGCTGCATTTACAGATTTTTAGATTTTTAACTAGGGTAACCAGTGTAACTATTGGGTGTGATTTTTTTTAAAACTGGAATGATACTGATGAATGCAGTCACGCTTCACGTTGCCTTTTCATTTTTCAGAGATCCCCAACGAGCCATAAAAATCAAGTTTCTTTCAATACCTAGCATCCACTCTTCTACGCTGCCTCAAAATGTCTTTGAGGAAGTTACAGCGGAAGAATCACTGCTTGCTTTGAAGTTTCACTAGAAGTCCTGATTCTGACAATTGTTATTATTTTCAAGCTATAAACAATTGTGTATTTTTATTCTGCAATGGCGAACAACAGCTGGTTTTTTTCACAGTGGTTCAAAATGCTCTGGTTAAATGACAGAAAGCAGTGAACCTTATGATTTCGTTTGTTGTGACATGTTTGTTCAAAAAGGGTGCAATTTAATTATCCTTTAGTGTGTTGGTGATGCCAGTTCAAGAAGCAGAGGTTTGGTCTCAAGCACAGTGGCTCAGATCTATTAGTTTCTCTTCTCATCAATCACCCTAACGCAATTACTATTTGGAAATTTGTCGGAAGGGGTAAAGGTGCAGGGAAGGAAGAGGTTTCCCCTGGATTATTTTCTTGGTCTGGTTTTCACAAACAACTGCATCAACCCTCCAAGGAAGGTCACAAACCATAATTCGGCAGCCCAAACTAATAGTTAAGGCAGGAAAGGGAAGAAACCAGACCAGTTTTGCCACCAAAGAAAAGACTGGGTGTAACAGCACCCAGTCATCAACGGGTAGCTTTATCTCAACCAATTTTGTCAGGCTCTCCTCCTGCAGGTAACACAAAGCCTGAACCAGCTCCCAGCTGTGGGCTCTGGCTCATTTGACAGAAATGCAGTCATGTCCACACCTGATGTGGATAAAATCTGTAAAGGTAAGGGACCAGGTTGTAATTGTAGGTGCCTGCTCAGAGGTGACTTCAGTTCTGAAGCAGCTGATCTCTCCTTCCCTCTTACAGGAACATGACATTGAAATATGGTCATAAAATGGTATTTTATTACCATTTTCAATGCTCCTGATTAAAGCATGATTTTTGCAAACATTCCAACATTTGATTTCTACTTATATGAATTACCATGGAAACTAAACTTTTATTGGGCATGCTTGCATGCTGAGGGGTGGAGAATTTTAAAAGCTCTATAATATGCAGCACAGTTGTTGTAGCTGTGCAATTGCCATGAAAACAGTTTATACTAGCTAGGTGGATTGTTGAACCCATCTATGGCTTGTAGCTCTTGTGCCAGTTTCCATATGCTTTTTCCTGACTTTTTTTAATAGTAGCATTGTTGCTTTTATTTCAGCAAGAGTTTTCAGCTCTTTAGTTTTTGGAGTTTCACTTGTTTGTTAATTTTTAAGTATTTCCCACTCATAAAAATTCCAAGACAGGGTTTTTTTTGTTGTTGTTTTAAATTGCCAGAGTCTTGCCTGTTAGACATTACAACCTACTAAGTTATTTTAGGGGCTCAGCTATGGCTGCTTTTAAGTACCTCTTATTATCTAGAGAGAAGTCTTAGTCCTTACTTTTATTTCCTTTGCTGCCAAGAAACAGATGACACTTATTGAGAGAGAATTGTCCCATCATACAGGTGTCAGGGGAAGCACATGGTCTGCTTTACCCAGGTGTTGATAGGAACTCATGTGTTGAGTAGGAACTAACTGAAGGTGTGTTTCAGCTGGCATATCGAAAGTCCCTCAGAGTAACAATTTAACGGCAAGAGCAAAGTTACAGTTTTTATTAGGCTTCGTTTTCTCTAGGGAGATTTTTTCAGACTGTTATCTAGAGTTTTCCCACTTAAAAGGAAAAGGAAGATCATGTGAGATCAAGGGAAGGCTGGCTGCTTTTGGTTCTGGCTGTGGCAGGGTTAAGAGTCATTCTCACCTCTACCAGCTGTGAGCTTGTTCTTAACTCTGCATTAATTACATGCATCTGCCTTTATTTTTTTTAACTGTGTGTACTCTTTCTTTCTTGTTCGGTGAACAAAACAGAAAAGCCAGGTTCAGTGCTAGTGATAAATGAAGCATTTGGGATGTTTGTGGAGGCAGTGACAGAAGAGTAAGTGGTCTCAAAGCGTGGTTTTTTATATGTAAACTACAGGAGACATCAGGACAGCCAAGGGTGTTGAGCTTTTCTTTTGGTTTGGTTTCTTGCCTTTTTTTTTTTTTAATTAATATTCTCTGGTATTTTGGGTGTTACTATACAGATTCCAGTTCTTACACCATTTATATTGTGGTAAAGTAAGTGTTCTAGCCAAGTAAAATATCCTCTGGAATATGCCAGGTGGGAACTGGATCACAAGGGCCCCCGTTTCCTCGTGGCACATGGGAACAGTCAGCAATCACGGCAATGGTTTACCTGGCCGAGGGATGTGTGAGCTTTGACTCATCCCACAGGACCCCTGCACAGCAGGTATGTGCAGCAATGCCCGCATTTCATCTTTGAGAAACAAACGGGGAAAAGGTAGAGTGACGAGGCCACACAGCACGAAACAAGATCGCTAGGCAGGATACTCTGGCTCACTGCCCTGAGCACAACCCTCCAGGCTGGCTCGCATCTCTCATCGCCGGGCTTTGCCTTAGCAAGCTGACACTACATGAGCGTTGGAAAGCCAAGGCTGCTTATACGCCCTGTGACTCCCAGCACCCAGCGATCCCAGGGACGGCATGACACATCTCTGGAGGCTTTGTCCTCTTTCCCTTGCAACAGCTGCAACCCAGCGGTCAGCCTCGCTGCCTCTGTCACTGAGCAGCCTCCTGAGCCAGGAACCCTGAATGGTCCAGACTGGCATCCCCAGGCACTTGCCAAACACGCGATGGGTGAGATGCGCTGATCTGGCAGATATGCTTTGCCGAGCCGGTGCTGGTTCGTAGGCTTGCTTTGGTGTGAAAACCCCTCCAGTAAGGGCCAGACGGGTTCACCAGCCCATTGTCCAATTTGGGACAGCGAAATGCTGGTGGTGGCAGCTGCCACCTGCGTGCATCCTTCGCTGATGCATGGGACCTGGATGGGGGTCCTTTGGGATCCCCATGTGTGTATACACACACGTGTGTCTGTGTGCGCACACCTGCATTCACAGGTGTATTTTTCTCAGGTAAGACTGAATCGGGGGACGCCTCTGGCAGGTGGCAGCAGGGTGTGACCCGGGCTGGGTGAGCGGCAGGGACACCCTAACCAGGGCAAGGAGGCAACCCGGCTCCGCTCCGGAGTCAGGAGGGCGGAGAGCAGCCCCTTCTGTAAAACTGCTTCACCGGAGACGATGAAGAGAGGAAGATGAGGTGGCGGGCGAGCGCAGGTAAACGCAGCCACAGCCCTGGGCACGGAAAATCGGGCCCGCGCCCTGCCAGCGCCGCCCTGTTTGCTCAGCTAATCTCGCGGGCAGGAAATTGCCTGGCGACTCATATTTATGGATCGTGAAGAGCCCGCAGTAGCCCCTCCGGGGACATCCCTGTGCTCGCTTTTTCCCCCTTTTCACCCGCCTACCCCCTCCCCGCGCACACCCCCACCCCGGCTGCCCTTCGGCCGCCCCGCTCCCGCGACCCCGGCCTGAGGGGAGCGAACCATTCCGCCCGCGGGGGTGCCCCGGCCGCGCCGGGGGGCGGGCACTGCGGCGGGGGGCGGCTCCCGGGGGCGGCGGCGGCGCTCCCAGAGCCGGGCGGGCAGCGGGACCGGGATGCGCGGGGAGCGGCGGCGGCCGGAGCCGGCGGTGAGTGCGGGGGAAGCGCCGTCCCGCGGGGTGGATGAAGCCCACCCGGGCAGCGGCGGCGCCGCTCTCGGCGGAGCCCCGCGGGCGTGGGGAGAGGGTCCCTCCCGAGCGCGCAGAGCCCGGGCTGACGCCGGCTCAGCCGCTCGCAGTCGTCCCCGGTTTTTGGCTACTTTTAGGGGAGTTTGTGCCACCTCCTCGCCTCCGGCTCCCTCGCACGTCTGACGGGTGGGGGCGGCGGGGTCCCTCGCTTGCCGCCCGTCTCAGCAGGGACCCCGCAGCTAAAAGAGACGGGGCTCCCCCCGTTGTCCCTTTCGTCGCCGGACGCTTCTCCCTCCCTCTTCGTCCGGGTGTTCTCCCCGGTTCTGTCGCGTCCCCTCCGATGAACAAAGCCTCTGACCCGGGCGGTGGCGGGGGCATCCGTCTCCGCGCGTCCGTGGTCCGAGAAGGCAAGGGAGGTACAGCAGGGCTGTCTTGGCTTGGCTTGGTTTGGTTTTCCATCGTCGGTAGTGTACCTGATAGAAGGGAAGACGTGGGACAGGGCTCTTTGTCCGCTCTCCTTTGTTCGGCTGGTGGCTTTTAAAGGCTCCTGCGGCTGTGCGAGGGCTGCCGTGCCCGGCGGGGATGGGTTCCTGGGGCTGAGCCGGTGATGGATGCCGTCTCGGCATCACTGGAGTTTAGCAACAGGAACCCGGCGTTACGGCTGATCGGTTTGCGGACGGAAATCGAGGGTTTTGGACTCGGTCTCCCCTGACAGATTTAGAGCTCGTAAGTCCCCCCTCGTGTAGCCCTGTCAGCAGCCGGGGTGGGATTCCGTGGCGCTGGGAGCCGGGCGCTCGGCGGTGAATTCAGCTTGGAGATCCGAGCTTTCTCGGAAAGATACCTGCTGCCCACCAGCAAAAGTAGGAACGGGATGAAAACTACAGCCCCCACTCCTCCTGCTCCAAAGCTGCCTGAGGAATTTCCCCCTGTGCAGAAGTGTAAATAGACTGACTGTGCTTGCATAGAGGCTCAAGAGATGGGCTTTCTGCTCCTGCCACAGTGCTTGCGTGATCTCGAACACATGGCTTTTGTCACCAGTTCCTTTTCCCCCAAATGCTCATCTTGTCAACCTGTCATCTTGTCTCTGAGCCTTGACTCTGCACGTGTCCAAATTCTCTGTGTCTGCATCTCCAGGGCATCTGCGTGAATATTTTGCCAGTCAGAACATGGTGAATATTTCATCTTTGTGCTGCATGTTCCCTCTCTTTTGGGGGAAGAGGGACAGGGGAGTGGCCCTTTTTGCAAGTTTTCATGTTGATGAACTTCTCAGTTTTTCCTTTCGCTATAGTCTCATGGATAATGTCACCAAAGATAAGGTATTAACATTGGAGGATGATAGTACCAAATGGAATTTCAAAGGATGAGGATGGGATTGCTTTCCCACAGCAGAAGGAAGCAATGTAGGAAAGATAGAAGATGAAGTAATCAGAAGATGGGAGAGTGCCTACCTTTGCTGTCATGGGGAGGGGTAGTCTGAACTGAGAGGATAACAGAGAAAGAGATTCTTTTCGGGCTGTCAAATAGTAATACTCTATCATTTCTAGATAGTTAATTTTACACACTTCCTTTTGCACACCAGCAATATGTTTCCCTTCCATTTTGACAAATGCTAAATGGACTCACTTGTGTGTCAAGGTTTTTACTGAGGGAGTGGAAATATTTGCCAGCAAGCAGGAGGGGAAGAGTAGCAATGTTTTCCATATCAGTTATTGTCTACACTTATCAGATGCAGTTATCAACCAGCTCCTTGAAAGTAGGTAAAAGCACCAGTAGACCATTGTTGGGAAGGAACAAAGCCCATCGTGAAAAATTTGAAGTATTTTGTTTGTAGATAGGAAGCTGAGAATGGGTGAGGTAAAGATTGCAGACCCATCTTGAGGCTGGAGTTGGATCAGAGGGACTAAAGGGGTTTGGACAGGAAGATTTTTTTTTGTCTTTTTCGCTGGAAGATCCAGAGAAAACCTGAAATAAGCAAAGTGGATGGGGGAAAGTGCTGGTGACTGTTAATGCTGTGTTCACTGCACATGGAGTGCCATTTTAATTTCTTAAAACAGTTGATTCTGATGCGTAGTAGCTGTCAGCCTAGGAAGCAATGTTTCCCATTAGATTAAATGACTACCTATAAGATGATGCCCTGCTCTGGGTATTCAGAGCAGGTGCCGTTCATTTAGGTTTTGTTTTAGACCAGTGGAGCACATCTAAGATGCCACAGAAATCCAAGGGGAGTCTTCTCCTGTACAAAAGAGGTCTTCCAGAGAGCGTTATGTAGAGTGAACTCCATAAGTGTGACCAAGCTTGGTTTTTCTTTACTTAAATCTCATGCAGGTGGGGTCAGTTTTTAAGTGAACCATTTTACTTAACTTCCTTAATTAGAGTAAATGGTGTAACTGCAGGTATAGTACCCGTATTCCTTGCTCAAGGAACGCAGTCCTGGGACTTGCTCATAAATGCTGTCCTGTGTTTGTGCAAGAAGACCCATGGCTTGGTAGCACAGCAGCCACAGCGGGTGCCACTTGAGCTATCACTGTCATGGTGGGTTTTGCCAAGCAAGTGTGATGAGAAGTATTTAGTCTGGGGGCATGCTTGCTGCCCTGAGAGTGCTGGAAAATGAAGAAGCGTTAAAGAGCTGGAGGGGACATTTGGAAATATGGGGCAAGCACTTTGGAAAGGAGACAAATTGAGGAGAAATGGAAGAACGAAACGAGAGACAGAAACTGTCAGAATAAGGGGGCACTGGAGAGAACTGATTATCGAAAGGAAGTGACAGGCACAAAGTGGCAGTGAAAGAAATCAGCACAGAGGAAAGCAGATCGTGGGAAAAATTTGCCCGAAAGAGTGGGAAAATGCAATAGGTGGGGCAAAATGGTAAGAACATCCAAGAAAGAAAGAAAAAAGAGTAGGTGATCCTTGAAGCTGTTCTAATTAGTTTTTCTAATTGCTTAGATTTTCTAGGCCTTATTTACCTGCTTCCCTTACTTCCCTATGGCAAGCTCTCATAGAATTTGTTAGGGGTGTTCCAGAGTCAAGTTGATCATGTCAAGTAGGATGGGAAAAAGGAGAAACTTTTGTTTAAGGTCTTCATGCTCTTGTACAGTGACAATTTCTGTTCCTTTATGGTGTGAATTTGGATATAAATTGTTTTGCACTCCATCCCCTTCCTGAAATTTTAGATGAAGAAAGTCTGTATTTCTTGGGCTTCAGGAGTGAGAATTATATTGATCTAGATATTACTACACCAGCTATGTTTGGTTTGTTAGTGGTTGTTTGTTTGTTAGTCTGCATAATGAGATGTAAGCAGTCACAGCCCACCAGCCACCAGCAGAACTTTCTATTTGCCACTCTGTGTGAAATTTTAAAGTCTCAGCCTGCAGATCTTTTGAGCATGCTCACAGTTTCAGTAGGAAAGGAGTTAATGAAATAGCATCAGAATGATACCAGGGAGCTTGTCATTACTGTCATGAGATGAGCCAGTCATTGGTCAGACTCTTTAGCTTAACTACCAGAAAGGTACCAAGACGGAAAGGAGGCACATGACTGGCGTTAGGCTTGTCCTCTGCCAGCCCTGTTTTTCTGCGTGAAGAAAGGAGTTAATTGTTTTAATGGAGATCTCTTGTAGTATGTTTCTGCCTGTTGGTAGCTTTTGTTTGGGCAGAAAAGAATTAACTCTCATTCTTCCTTTAACTTCTCTTGGTGAACTAGTCCAGATGAAACAGTGGTTTGTGTGACTGTAAGATAAGGAGGAGGCAGTGATGTTTACTAAAATAATATGGTATGAGTAGGTGATCTAGTCTCTTGTCCTACCAAATGCATAGGAATAAGGTTAAATTCATTGAAATGTGTACTTCCACAATTTCAATTTCAGGTAAGAGTACCTATTATGGACCAAAAGTTATAAAGCTTCAACTTTTCCCCTGTCAGTTTTATTTGGACACACTCAGTAGTTGGTGTCTCTTATACCAATGGCTGAAATCTCAATTTGTAGTCACCAAACCATAACATTTACATGGTAATGAATGTTTTCATTTTCGATGTGCATTTAAAATTGTCAGCTGTCGTGATCTGATTAAAATGATTACATCTGTCTACTGGAAAGAGCAATTGATGTGACAATGCCTACAACATCAATCCTTATCAGAGAGAATCATGTTTTAACAGTAAGACAGAATGGTTAAAAATGTCATATTTAGGTGCAGGTTTTGGAGTTGCTGGGGTGGTTATTTCAGGAAAATAGATGCGGTTTATGAGGGGAGTAAAGATATTTGGGGTGTTTTCTGTTGTATTGTTTTATTTCTGCTCCTTCTCCAATATCCAGCACGATAGTTTGTCAGAGGAAGAGGTAAGCCATAAGAGCGACTTCCTGTACCACTCCCTTTTCCACATCGGAAACCTGCAGGATTGCAAGAGAGTGACTTAGTCAAATCTGATTCACAGATATTTGATTTTGAACTTATTTAGTGTTGCTGAAGGTGCCAAACTGAGTTTTAGGAACTGAAACACCCTTTGCCTGTAACCAGGACCTTGTGCTCACTTGCATGCAGGAACCTGTGTGTTGCAGGGCTTACACTGTGAAAAGTCAGGGACTGAGCAGATTTCAGGGCTATGCTGGCAGGAAACTAGCTGTGGTTTTTGGGGTCTAATGTACTGTGTTGTGGGGTAGGTGGAAATGAAGAAGGATATTTAAGGTGACCCTTAACAGCTTTGCTGAGTTGTGCAGTTTTTGGCAGAGATGGCTTTGCTCTCTCTTAGGGATGTATCCATTCAGTAGTTAGTGGGTACAGAATCTCACCAAATTATGCAGATGCCCTTCTGTGAATATATTGTTTTAGTTTGACAGGGGGCTTCAAGGGGTTGGGGAAAGATGGGTTTACACCTAAGTGTTTTGGAGGTAAACAGTAGATCCCTGTGAGTTTTACTTTGCCATCAGATTGAGCCTATCAAGACTTTTGTTTGTAAATAAGCAAAGTAAATCATGAGGGGGGAAAACAAAGACTTGATTTAATCAGGAGCAAGTACATTGTCCTCAAATTATGCAGGAAAAAGGTAAATCAGCTTGGTAATGGAACAGTCTGTTCATGCACGGAGGTGTGCTATACTATGGGAAAAAAAAAATCTCTGGATGCTGAATTTTGTTGAAGGTGTGAAAAATCTATGGACTAACTGCTGTGTAAGAGCTGTACCTGTAGCTTGGTTGAGCTGCAGCTTTAGGCTCCTAAGCCAAAGTGTCCTGATTTTGGCTGGTATTTCTTCCTAGTAGCTGTTACAGCATTGTGTTTTGGGTTTAGTATGAGAATAATGTTGATAACACGTCATTGTTTATAGTTTTTGCTAAGCAGTGTTTCTTTTAAGTCAAGGACTTTTCAATTCCTTATGCCACGCCAGTGAGAAGGCTGGGGAGCACAAGAAGTTTGAAGGGAATGCAGCTGTGACAGGCTTACCCAGGTTTTATCCCACATCACGTG